CACCACTGACAGATCTTTCTTGGGGTGTTGTATTGTTGTCCTATTTTTTTTTTTGGTACTGGGGATCGAACTCCGGACCTTGGCAGATGCAAAGCAGGCACCAGAACCACTGAGCTAAATCCCCGGCCCTACTGGGGTGTTGTATTGTTTCCTGTACCCTCTCCACACTTCCTTTCATGGATAACTTTTCTTTCTTTGGGACTGCAGTATTTTTTGCTTTACTTTGTTTTTTGTTTGTGAGACAAAGGTCTTGCTGTATAGTTTAGCCTGGCCTTGAACTCACCATGTAGTGGAGACTGGCCTCAAACTCACAGAGATCCTCCTACCTCAACCTCCTAAATGCTGGGTTCACAGGTGTGCTCCACCACACCCAACTAATTTGCCATTTCTGGAACTCTTGGCTCTGCTGGAAATGAAGAGAAGCTTGTCTTAGAAGAGAACACACAGCCAGGTTTGAGGCCAAGGCCTTTGGAGAATTGAAACCTTCCCTGCTTGGAGGGAGACTTCGATCCTAAACCTTAGAAACACTGGATTGTGGCCAGAAGAGGTCAAGTTCTGATTAACTTCTCCATAATTAAAAGAAGGAAAAAAAACCTTGATGTCTGAGTCATCTGTTTGGATGCATAGAGGCCACTTACAGATGAGGAGGAAAGTGAAACGCAACCTGGGTGTGGTGGTACATGCCTGTAATCCCAGCACTCCAGAGGCTGAGACAGAGAGGATTTCAGTTCAGCCTGGGTAATTTGGTGACTTAATGAGACCCCATCTCAAAATACAATGTAAAGGAAAGGGCTGCTCATGTTACCTTTCCTGCTTTGTGCCCGCTGTGTTGTTTCTGTTCTGCAGTGCTTGTTTGCCATCCCAGCCTTGGAGCCAGCTGATTATGGACTGAAACTTCTAAGAACTGTAAGCCAAATAAACCCCTTCCCCTTAAAAAAAAAAAAAAAGAGAAGAAATAGGGCTGAAGGCTGGGTGTGGTAGTGCACTCCGGTAATACCAGCAGTCTGGAGGCTGAGGCAAGAGGATCACTGTGAGTTCAAGGCCAGCTTGGGCTGCATAGCAAGACCTTGTCTCAAAAAAAAAAAAGGAGAGAGAGAGAGAAAAGATGGGAATTGCTTCTGGAGGCTATACATTCCCCAAAGTATTAAAAAAAAAAAAAAAGACTCAAAATGTGCACCTTAGTGCAAGGCCCTGGGTCGAGTTTTAAAACAAAAAACGTTAAAGATAGTTGTAAGACAGAAGACGCTGTCACTGGGTGCTCAAATGAAACCCAGGGGCCTGGGGTGTGGTGCAGTGGCAGGCAAAAGTCCCAGATTCCACCCCAGCACCTTGCACCCACGCGCACACCCACATGCACATGCACAGAAACCGAAAATGCGCACACTTTCTGCCCACAGCACCCTCCACACCGGCCTCCTGGGCTGGGGATTTACCTCAGTGGTTCAGGCGCCTGCCTCGCAAGCGCAAGGTCCCGGGTTCCATCCCTGGTACACCGCCCCCCCCCAAAAAAAACTACCACACCGGCCTCCTCCCCAAGCCCAGTGCATCTCCTGTAGGGTGCAGGAGGGGCAGACCTCAGGCTCCACGAGCCCAGGACACAGGCTTTGTGAGCTCCCCTGCAGGGCCTGCCACACAGCAGCATTCTCTGCATCTCCAGTGAGTCTCTGGTTTGGTTGGCGGTTTCGCCTCTCAAGCCCTCAGCATAGACCAGGTGAATGTGTGTGCCACACCTTTGTCCAGGTACGGCATCCTGGACAAATAAAATATTATTATTATTTTTTGAGATAGGGTCTCGCTATATAGTCCACAGGCTGGCCTCGAACTCAGGACGATCCTCCTGCTTCAGCCTCCCAAGTGTGCACGACCACACCTGGCTCCTGGATGTTAATTTTAACAGATACATGGTGTGGGGGTGTCAGGTGTGTGTGTCTGTGCCTGTGGAGCAGGAAAGGAGATGGTAATAAAATGTCACAATGTGAGCCCTCCTAAAATAGATTATTGAGAAGTCCCTGTGCACCAAAGTTAGGTCATATAAAATATACTTTGAGCTCAGCAGCACAGCCTTGGAAGCTTGAGGTCCTGAGTTCAATCCCTGGTACCCCCCCCAAAATATATATATATATTATATATGTTGAAAAAATACATACTTTGGGCCAGGGATTTAGCTCTGTGGTTCTAGTGCCTGCCGTGTAAGCACAAAGTCCTGAGTTCGATCCCTGGTACCAAAAAAAAAAACCACACAAAAAAGAAAATAAACATAGATACTTTTACATGTTTTGACCTATATGTGTCCTGGATTTACACCTAAAATGTTCTCTGAGCAGGAACCTTATTTATCTGTGTATTTATATATATTTCTTTGTAGTACTGGAGATTGAACCCAGGACCTTCACTGAGCTACATCCCCAGCCCATTTACATTTATTTTTCAAAAATTATTGTTCAGTTTTTTAAAATGTTAGCTGGGTGTGATGGTGCACACCTGTACTCCCAGTACTTGGGAGGCTGAAGAATGAGGATCACCACAAGTTCAAGTCTGAACTGCTCCAAATAGTTCAAGGGACAACCTGAAATATATATTGAGACCCTGGCTCAAAAAATACGAAGAGGGAGAGAGAGAGAGAGAAAGGGAGAAAATAAAAATGATTATTAACCAGGAATGGTGCCGCATGCCTGTAATCTCAGCATTTGGGAGGCTGAGGCAGGAAGATCAGTGGTAATTCCAGGCCAGCCTGGGGCTGCAGAGTGAGTTCAAGGCCAGCAAGGACTACAAAGGGAAACCCTGTCTCCAAAAAACAAAACAAAAAAGAAAATAAATGTTTATTAGTACATGTTTGCTGTTTACCATGGGGAGTTAGTACATGTATGTAACACATCAATTGGGTTTTTTAAAATAAATTTTATTTTATCCCATTTCCCTCCCTCAAGGCATCAATTGTTTTGTTTTGTTTTGGTTTTGGTTTTATGCACACTGGCCTTGAACTCACAGCAATCCTGCCTAAGCCTCCTAGACGCTGGGATGACAGGCCTATGCCATCACACCCTGTTTTTAAATTTTTGATACAGGATTTCAATTGCCCAAATTGGGCTCAAATTGCAATCCTCCTGCCTCAGCCTTCCAGAGTACTAGAATTACAGGGGTGTGCCATCACACCCAGCTTGTGTGTCTGTTTTTTGTTTGTTTTGGTTTTTGGTTATTTGAGACAGAGTCTTGCTGTGTAGTCCAGGCTGGCCTTGAATTCACTGTGCAGCCCAGGCTGGCTTCCAACTTGCACTGATCCTCCTGCCTCAGCCTTCTGAGTGCTGAGATTATAGGTATGTGCCACCAGAAAAATTTTTGCCTGCCACCAGCTCCTTTTCCTGCCTTGTTTAAAAAAAAGAGAAGAGGGCTGGGGATTTAGCTCAGTGGTTCCGCCTCCTGCCTGGCAAGCGCAAGGACCCCAGTTCGATCCCTGGTACCAAGAAATTAATTAATTAATTTTTAAAAAAAGGAAAGAAAAGAAAAGGTCTAAAAATCATATTCCCTTCTTGGGGAAAAAAGGACTGGCCATTCATTCCTCCATTCCTGTGAGCTGGAGCTGATGTTAGAGTGCTAACAAGACATGGAGACATAAATTCACATGTTAGACAATCATGCAGGGAATATTCACCTAGTAGTCAGCAAAAGATTACTGCACTTTTTTTTAATTTTTTTTTTTTTTAATCTCCAGGGCCCAGGTACTCAATTTAAAAAATCTTATTAGAAAGCTGGAGGGCCGGGGATTTAGTTCAGTGGTTCTGCCGCCTGCCTTGCAAGTGCAAGGAACCAAGTTGGATCCCTGGTACCAAAAAAAAAAGAAAGCTGGGCATCAGGGGCCAGGGATTTAGCTCAGTGGTTTCACCGCCTGCCTCAAAAGCTCAAGGTCCTGAGTTTGATCACTGGTACCAAAAAAGAAAAGAAAAGAAAAAGCTGGGCATCTGGGAGAGAAAAAAGAAAAAAAGAAAACGGCTTGTTGGCATATGCCTGTAATCCTGGTGCTTGGGGACATTGAGGCCGAGGCAGAAGGATCACTGGAAGTTGGAGGATAGCCTTGCTCAGAAAAGAAAAGGCTAATTCCACCTCACCCCAGAAAGAGTGGCTGCTATCAAGAAATCAGTCGTTAACCAATGCTGGCAGGGCTGTGGGGAGAAAGGAACCCTGCTCCAGAATTGTTGGTGGGAGTGCAGACCGGTGCAACCACTGTGGAAGTCAGTGTGGAGACACCTCACAGAACTAGGGATAGAGGTCCCATTTGACCCGGCTATTCCTTTGCTGAGTATGTTCCCAAAGAATTAAAAGAATCATACCACAGCGATATATGTGCACCTATGTTTATAGCGGCACAGTTTGTGATAGCTAAAACTTGGAAACAGCCCAAATGCCCATCAACTGGAGACTGGATCAAGAAAATCTGGTTTTTTAATAAAATGGAGTACTACTCAGTCATAAAGAATGAGAAACTAGAGACATTTATAGCTAAATGGATGCACATTGAGGCCATACTCAAGTGAAATAAATAGGACACACGTGTGTAAATACTGAATAGTTTCTCTGGTGTGAGAAACTGAAAGTGTACATAAGGATCAAAATGTATAATAGATAATGTCAAATAGGAAGGAAAGGTCCAAAGGGGAAGGGGAATTGGGAGGGGCAGGGGAAAGGAAAGGAATAAATAAGAGAAAAGGAAAAGATGGAAACAAAGTCTTTGTAAATAGGGGTGGAGGGGTTGAAGGGAGGGCAGGGGAATGGCGAAAAACTAAGAACCAAGATATATCATGTAGAGGTACAAATTCCCAATGATGAATATCATCATATTTGTATACCTAAAATGTACCAATAAACTTAATAAAAAAGAGGCTACATAATGAGTTCCAGGCTAGCCTGAACTATAGTGAGACTCAGTCTCAAAAACAAAAACAATGGGCCGGGGATTTAGCTCAGTGGTTCTGGCACCTGCCGAACAAGCACAAGCACAAGCACAAGGTCCCAAGTTTGATCCCTGGTACCAAAACAAAACAAAAACATCCAGTTAAAATAATAAAAGCACCCAATGTGGAAGGACTAAATAAGGTAAACATGCATTTCCAGGGTGGGGTGGGGGGCCTCCCCTCCTCGGCAGGCAGTCCTGTTTTGTTGAGGATGTTGCTTCTTGTCTGTCATAAGGGTTTCTTTTCTGGCTGGGGACAGGCTTTCTATTGCCTTCTTGGACTCCAGGTTTGAGATTTGCTGGTGGCTAGGGCTCACTTTGGCCACCACAAACTCATCCACAGTCACGAGTGTCCGCACCACCTCGGCCACTGCACGGAAGCCTTGGGCTTTGACCACGAGGAGCTCCCACATGCCTTCCTGGGCAGCATTTAGTAACCCTTCACTTCCCACTCCCACCAGGAAGTTCCCTGCTTGGTGGATGCCACTCATTTCTGCCATCACGGTTGGGACAGCCAAGCCTGCATTCTCTGCCAAGGTTTTAGGAAAAGACCTCAGTGCCCGGGGAAATGCCAGGAAGGTGGGCCCCCTGTGGCCCATCCATTTTGCCCCCTTTCTCTGACAGCATCCTGGCCAGAGCCATCTCTGTGGTGCCGGCTCCCGGCAGCAGCCTGGGATCCTGACAGAGCTGGGCATAGGCATCAATGCCATGATAGGTGGCCTCCTCTGTGCCCCAAAGTCCCTCAGCTGTAGACCCCCGGAGGACCAGGGTGAGGACAGGAGCACCTGAATGCTCCCACTCAAACACCACGGCCTTGCTGTCCCCCAGTTCCTGTGTGTGAACTCTCCAGCACTGCCCAGGCTCCAGTCGGGGGAGCAGGCTGGTCAGCAGAGGGGTGCCCAGCACCTCACTGAGGTACACTATTTCCCTCCGAGATTGACTCAGCCCAAATCACCATGATGCCCAGCTGGTCAGCCAGGGCAAGGGTCTCTTTATCCATATCCCCCCATTTGACAGCCACGTTGACATTCGAGTCTGCCAGCTAGGCCACCTGCTTTTCTATTAGTCCATTGTTTCTCTCTTGAATATAAGAAGGGCCTTGAGGCTATAGAGACAGGCAGTTGCAGGGGCATTGGGACTAGCAGGACCAAAGTGGCAAGTGAAGAGGGCCACCCTGGCCCCTGATGACATTGTAGTCACCTGACCACAGGGGCTTGCAGCTATGGCAAGCCCTGGGAGGAGGCAGGAGTCCCACAGCGTCCCCCCACACAGCCTGCACAGCCGAATGCACTCAGGCTTGAAGCTGCCACTGGGCTCCTTGCTGGCCCAGCATGCGTGGGCTACCAGCTTGGCCAGGTGGTCCGAGTGGGCCAGGGAGTGTGTGTTCATCACAGAGCAGAGGGCCCAGTATGGATCCTCCAAAGGCCCCAGGGCCTGGATGGCTAGGGAAGGGAGCATGGCCATGACCTCTGCCAGGGCTGTGCTGTAGGCCTCCCTAGAGCTGGGTGCAGGGCAGGCCAGCTCTGAGCAGGAGCTCAGCCTGCTCCAGTAATGCTTTTGCCAGCAGGATGGCAGCGGCCAAGCCCGTACACACAGTGTCCCCGTGAGTGGTCACCAGGAACTTCTGCCGCCCCAAGGGTCCGTAGCAAGGCCAGATGACATTGGCTAGGGTCTGCACCAAGACCAGGGTGCTCAGCAGGTGCTGCTGTCCCCCTCTCGGGCTCCTGTGGGTCTCCATGGGGCAGGGCCCAGCTGCTTGGGCAGCTCCAGGTCGGCGGGGCTGTGCTGCCCATGTTCCAGAACAAGGAGGCCACCAGCAGCTGCAAGGAACGCTGTGGATCAGCAGCAGGAGTGCACTTCATGGCGATCGATGAAGCTTCTCAGAGGCAGTTGAAACCAAGGCAAGTGTCTATTGTGTAGAGCCTGGGCCCAACTCAGAGAGGCACCCAGCTCAGTCTGAAGATGCTCTACAGAATGTGGTCCTAAGGCCACCCCCAAGCCGATTCTGTAGAGGAGCTGTGCTCCTGGGGGCTCTGAGTCTCAGTAGCCAAGTTTGGATCCTTCACTGATGAAATCACAAAGCCACAGATGGAGCCAGTGGTAGGAATGAGGTCATAGAAGAATGGTTAGAATTGGGGAGGCCTCACCAACTGGCCAAAGTGAGGCCTCTTTGTGCAGCAGTAGAGGTCTGTACGCCTCTGCAGCAGAATTGAGAGTTTCTTAAACTGGTGGCAGTGAAGAGGAAATTAGGTAGGCCATGGCAGAACAGGCCTGTAATCCCAGCACTTGGGAGGCTGAGGCAGGAGGATCACTGTGAATTCAAGGCCAGCCTGGACTACAGGGTGAGACCCTATCTAAAAAAAAAAAAAAATTTCAAAAAAGATGAAGAGGAATGAGATGAACATTTTTAAACTGGGTGTGGTTGCCAGGGATTTAGCTCAGTGGTTTTGCTGGCCCCGCCTGCTTTGCAAGTGCAAGGACCCAAGTTCGATCCCCAGTACCAAAACAAACAAAAACCAGGTACTATATAAACTGGGTGTGGTAGCACACCCTTGTAATCCTGATACTCTGGGGAAAGGAGGCAGGAGGATCACAAATTCAAGCTTAGACTGGGAAATTTAGAATACCCTGTCTCAGCCGGGTGTGGTGGCACACATCTGTAATCCTAGTACTCAAGAGGGTAAGGAAGGATTCAAGGCCAGCCTGGGTTACATAGTGAGTTCAAGGCCAGCCTGAGCTACATAGTGAAACCTTGTCTCAAAAAACCAAGAAAAGGGCTAGGGATGTAGCTGACGCAGTGTGAAGGCTATGGGTTCAACCTCCAGTTCCACAAAACAAAGAAATAAATAATTAAAAACCCTACCCACTTCAAAGAAGGGTCAATGGCTAAGGAAGCTACACTGGCTTTTATTTGTGCTCTTGAGAGGGCCTAAGAGACCCTGATGTCTCTCTTCTCTTGCTGCGCTGTCGCTGCAGCCCTGTGGGATACCAGCCATGTGCTGCCCGCCTTTGCCTTTGGGCCAGTTGTCAGCGGGTGCCTGTTTGTCAGGTTCCCATGGTGTCCACGGGCCCATTGGTCTTTCAGGTTGCAGATGTGGGAGGCCACGTGGTGTGTACACCTGTGTGCCCATTCCCAGTGCCGGGGAGGAAGAGATGCTGACCAGCTGCAGACAGACATGTGGGCCAGGAGGGAGAAGCAAGCGGCCACCCAGGGTCAGGGCAGGGGAGACCAAGTGGGGCCTAGGGCTGAACCCTGAACCTGAAACGCCAGTCGCCTTCTCAGTTTAAATTTCTCTAGGACGAAGGGTGTGGCTCGGGTGCACCCCTGGGCTCCACCCTCAGCAGCGCCCACACTCACATGCAATGCGCTGAGAGGGCATGGGGAGGGGGGAGGCAAAAGAGTTTAGGTCCCTTTTTCTATTCTCCTTTCCTCTGTTTTTGTATTTTTCTCAGCCCGTGTTCACAGTTCATCATGCTCATATTCCTCGAGGGGAGCAGCATGTGTGCAAGACCCATCGTCATTCTTTTTTCACCTCCCTCTCTTCCTCTCTCCTTTCCAGGTACAGAGCCTCTTGCAGCAACAATGACTCTGCTTTAGTTGAATAAATGTTTCTTCATTGTCCACCATGCTTAGTGCCATGGGGAATGCAAAGATAGGAACTTAGGGGAAGGAGTGCAGGCGGATTTGTGTCCCATGGTCCCACCTCTGAGAGGTACCAGGGAGGGCGAGGATAGAAACCCTGGCTCTGTCTGCTGGCACTGGAGGAGTCAGAGCGATGCTGTCCCTTTGTCACTACTTTGATGCCTGTAAGAAAACTGGAACTCTGGGCCAGGCATGGTGGTGCATGCCTGTGATCCTAGCACTCAGGAGGCTAAAAGGAAGGAGGATCACCAAGAGCTCGAGGCCAGCCCGGGCTATATAGTGAGTTCAAGGCAATCTGAGCTACAAAGCAAGATCCTGTCGAAAGAAAGGAAGGAAGGAAGGAAGGAAGGAAGGATCTCTGAAACTGACACTGCCAGCCAGCAGTCTTGGTAGGATGAGGCATTTTTTTTTTTTTTTGGTACCTGGGCTGGAACTAGGAACCCTGCGCTTTTGAGGCAGGCAGTGGAAAAAGAGGACAGGACAGTGAGAAAGAAAAGAGAAAATATTATAGTGAAAGATACATATAATTAAGGCTAAAAAGCAGATTACTTTGAAGAAAAAGTGCTGTTTTTCTTTTTTGTTTTTTTTGAGACACGATCTCACTATGTAGTCCAGGCTGGCCTTGAACTCACTGTGTAGCTCAGGATGGCCTTGAACTTGCAGTGATCCTCCTGCTTCAGCCTCTTGAGTGCTAGGATTACAGATGTGCACCACCATACCTGGCCTCAAAGTATTTTTTTTAAAAAAAGGACTGGGGGTTTAGATCAGTGTGAAGGCCCTGGGTTCAATCTCCAGTATATAAAAAAAGGAGGAGGGGTTGAGAGAGCTGAGGGGGAAGGAAAGGAGAGAGGAAGAAGAGGAGGAGAGGAAGAAAAAGAGGGGAGGAAGAGAGGAAGAAAAAGAAGGAGACGAGGAAAAAATATTGAAAAGAAAAATGCAAGGAGTTAGGCATGGTGGTAACAGCCCACAATCCCAGCTACTGAGGAAGCTGAGGCAGGAGGATGACAAGTTCGAGGCAACCTGGGCAACTTACACAGACCCTGTTGCAAAAATTACAAAAAGTGCCTGGCATGGTGGTGCACACCTGTGATCGCAGCACTCAGGAGGCTGAGGCAGGGAGACTGCCACAAGTTCAGGGCCAGTCTGAACTGCATAGTGAGTTCAAGGCCAGCCTGATCTACATAGCAAGACCCTGTTTCAAAAAAAAAAAAAAAAAGTTCTGTGTATGATGTAGCTCAGAACTCCCTGGGTTCAATCTCCAATACTGGGGGAAAAAGTCTAACAAGACATTATTTTGTTGAAGATCATGGACAACTCTTTTGACTCCTTGTGATTTTGGGGACTCCGGCATGGCTTTCCTTGTTCAGGCTTGTCACCTCGAACACAGTGCTGTGTGACAAATGTTGGTTATGAGGGCAAAGATGACTCACCTGTGTGTTATAGAAAATTAAAATGTAATGACCAACACAGAAGGACCAAAGCATGCCTGTGAAGTTGTCTGTAAAGATACAGCATCTCTCTTTCTTTCTTAAAGAAACATTTCTGAAAAAATTATCATAGCTCTTTCAACCCTAACAGAATTTTCATATCCATTTCACTTATTACCCAACCATTTATCAAGTTGCTGCTGAGGAACAAGGCAAAGAAAGCCCAAGACTCTCAGTGTCTCTTGTGGTTGGGTGGGCACAGGCATCAGGCACTTCCATGCCCAGTGATGCCAGCAGGCACTGGAGAATGCACAAGTTCGGGTGGACGAAGGCAGGAGTCTCAGAACCATCTTTGCAGGGAGAGGAGAGGCCAGGGATGGAGGTGAAGAGAGGAATTAGGTGAGAGACTCAGCTGCTTGGGAGACTGAGGCAGAAGGTTTACAAGTTCACAAGTTCAAGACCAGCCTGAACAACATAGTACACCCTACTTTAAAGAACCAAAACCCAAACAAATAGATAAAATAAAAATAAAAAATAATAGTAAAAATATGAACACAAAAATGAGAGGTCTAGACAGTGATGGTGATCCTTTTAGAGTTTTCAGTGATACAACAGCCCACTGCTGCATATGTGCCATAGGTTTGCCACCACTATTCTAGAATTTAAGTCTTAAGTGGTCCCTCCATAACCATGAAAGTTTGGTTCCAAAAAACAAAAACTGGGTTGGGGATTTAGCTCAGTGGTTTGGCCGGTTTCCTCGCAAACGCAAGGATCAGAGTTTGATCCCCCGTATCAAAACAACAAAAAAATAAAAACCAAAACCTATCACCACCACCACCACAATAAACAACCTTGAGGAATTTAAGACTTAGACTTCATCAAAGAGATAAACATTCACTAGTGAATCTGTGAAGAGTCATGTGAATAGTTTTACATTCCCTGAAAGGAAAGCAATAACCATGGTAGCCCAGGCCTGCAATCCTAACACTCTTGAGGCTGAGGAAGGAGGATCTCCACAAGTTTGAGGCCAGAGTGGGCTTTATAGTGAGTTCAAGGGCAGCCTGAACTATATAGCAAGAACTTGTCTCAATGACAACAAGCCAGTGTGACACCGCACACCTGTAATCCCAGCACTTCAGAGGCTGAGGTAGGTGGATTGCCACAAATTCAAGGCCAGCCTGGACTACATAAGTGAGCTCAAGGTCAGCCTGCACTGCAAAGCAAGACCCTGTCTGAAAAAAACAAAACAAAACATAATAGAGACTGTACTCTCAAGTAAAGACTGTCCAGTTGCATTTTGTAGGCCTTCAATTAGTAAGAATGGATCTGTACTATGAATTTTTATTCACTGTCCTGTGTTTGTGAGACTTTTGGAGAATTCTCCTTGTTTATAGATTCCTGAGATGTTGGTTTTTCTTTGTTGCAAATAACAAGCCCCACCCATCACCCCAACATTTAAAATATATATGTGTGTATATTCACTTCTGTATGACTAAAAGAGTAGTATATGTGTTCTGAAAGAGTCCAATATTTTTTGTTTTGTTTTTTGTTTTTGTTACTGGGGATCGAACTCGGGTCCTTGCGCTTGCAAGGCAGGCGGCGGAACCACTGAGCTAAATCCCCGGCCTGAGTCCAATATTTTTAAAAATGTTAAACAGTAAAAATCTCTTGTAATTCTTCAGAGGGGATTGCTATTAACAGTTTAATGCACATCTACCATATTTTAAAAATTCATATTTAAGTTGTACTTACTAGAATTTAAGCAATCTGATTTTTTTCTGGTACCAGGGATCGAACTCCAGACCTTCTGCTCGTGAGGCAGGCTGCGGAACCACTGAGCTAATTCCCCAGCCTATGATTGTATTTTTTAAAAGTTGCATTTGGTTTTTCCAGGTGCTTATGATTTTCTGATTGTATAATTTGAGGAATCTCGGCTACTTGTCTCCTGGATTTTTTTTGAGACAGGACCTCACTAAGTAGTTCAGGTTGGTCTTGAACTCACTATGTAGGCCAGGGTGGCCTCAAACTTGCAGTGATCCTCCTGCCTCAGACTCCCGAGTGCTGGGATTACAGGCGTATGCCACCCATTGGCTCAAAAAGGTTGAGTTTTCATATTTGCACTTAGTAATTAACTTTATGCCACATCACAGATTTATCACTCACCATATAGTTTTTTGGGGGGAATATATATCGTATTTCCAGGTATAACAGATGTTTTGACTTTATAGTTTTCATTTGCCATATCAACCTTCTCCCCAGTCCCAAACTTCCTTGACTGTAAATTTAATAAACTTTAAAAAAGCTCTGAAGGAAGTAAATGATTATCTTACTATATGCCTTTTTTTTTTTTTTTTGTCCAGACAGGGTCTTGCTTTGTAGTGCAGGATGGGCTTGAACTCACTATGTAGCCCAGGCTGGCCTTGAACTGGAAGCAATCTTCCTGCCTCAGCATCTCCAGTGCTGGGATTACAGGAGGGTGCTACCATGCCCTGCTATATGTGTCATATGACATTTTTTCTTCTGGTGATACCAGGGATTGAACCAGGGTCTTACACACATTAGGCAAGTGCTTTACCATTCAACGACATCTCCAGCCATAAGTCTCATTTCAGTAATTTAAAAAAACTACGCTTTCAAAAAAAAAAAGATGCTTTAAAAAAACTATGTTTTTAGTTAGAATAGGTTGAGGAAGTAAGTGTGTACCTTTTACCCAAATAGAAAACACAGTTTTCTTGGGAAGAAAAGAAGGGCAGTAATATCACTTGAAAACGAACCTATTATTTTATACCACACACTGAAACCTTTGGGAGGATGAACCAGAGCAGATGCTTATTGAATGCTAGTTTACCCCATCCTTTGGCAAGTGTTTATGAGTCTTAGTATTTCCAACTGAAATCTACGATTTTCCACTCCTGTGTGCCAACCCTCACTCAATGCAAAGGCAAACAGAATAAAACACCGTCCAAAGGTTCTCTATTAGATATGCAGGATCGCATACGTGTGACTGTCCTTCCCGAGAAAGTCTCTGTTTCAGGTTTTCTTATTCCAACCTCATTTCCACATTTCCTAAGAGGTGGCTTAGAAATACTTTGGTTTTTGTCTCTTCACCGCAGCACATTAACGCTAAAATCAAGTTGTTTTGTTATATCAGTTCATTTGTCTTGTCTTTATTTTTACAAGTGCATGCCTGCTGTCATAACACATCTCAGTTCTTTTATATCCTCCTCTTTACCCCGCCCCCCCGTCCTCTTCCCATTTCGGTTTTTGTCTTTAAGGATTTTATTCCTCAAAATGTTATCGCTCTTTTTATTTATAGCTTTATAAACCCTCTCTGGATGTTTTCTTTAAATGACGTTATAATAAAGCAACTGTAACTGGAATTGTATTGCAACGAAGTAGTACTGGCTATTGTGCTTCCTCACAGCCACACATGAACACCAGGGTCTCCCGCGCGTGTCACCGAGTCCCTGGGTGTTCCCAGCCCTGGGAGGCTCCGCACGCCGCCCGCCTGGCCGCACTCATCGGAGCGTTCCCAGCGCAGCTCCTCCCCACCGGCGCCCGGCTCGGATCCCGATACTGGATCTGCGCCTCCGCAGCTTGCCTCTCTCCGAGCCGAAGCCCAGCAGCGCCGCGCAGGGCCAGGCCGCCGCGTCAGAGCGGGCGGGGCGGGGCGAGGCGGGGCGGGGCGGGGGAGGGGCATGAGGTCAGCCGCGGCGCGTCCGCGGGCGCGGCGCATGCGCGGCGCGAGGCCCGTGAGTGGCAGCCTGGGCGGCGCGGGGGAGGGGGGCCGGCGCGGGGGCGCGCGGTGGTCGTGTGTGGGCGAGACGGCGGCGAGTTTGAGAGGTCTGTGGTGCGGGTCAGCCCCGGGTACCCGGGCGCGAGCCCGGCGCTGCGGCCAGAGTCGCGAGTGTGTGTGTGTGTGTGTGTGTGTGTGAGGTGTGTGTGGAGCGAACGCACACCCCGCAAAACTTCCTTCTCCCGGCCCCAGAGAACGAGCAAGCGTGTGTGTGTGTGTGTGTGTGTGTGTGTGTGAGAGAGAGAGAGAGAGA